GGGGGCCATGTCACCAAGTTCACCGACTGGTTGAACACTCCGACTGTGTTGATTCATCAAAAGGGAGATGTGGGAATCCCTCCTTCCGTCATGTGGCCATGGTTCAAAAAAGGACCCAGAGATTTATTGGCAAAAGCAATGCTGAAACAAGAAGGCAGGAAAAAAACAAATACAGTAATTGGATTAAAAAAACACTCGTCTGAAAATAAAAACACTCGTTGGTTGGTTTGTCTCAATTCACAAAAAAAAGAAAACAACGAAACACGCCCTCACAAGCCTTTCGAAGCTTTTCACTCGTCCGACGTGTCGGATGTTCGGGCACCTCTTGCAGATCACTTGGGCGATCACCGTGCTGCGCCACATCCTGACGTGCGCCAGTTGCCAGCAGCGAGGCATATGAAAACTCCCACAGCACAGGATGGTGCCATCATGTGCCATCCCTTTCGCTGCGTTTCGCAGTGGACTCAGCAGGTTCAAATCCCAGCAGGGCCGAGCACTCCTGAGACAGCAAGTCTTTGGCACGACCTGAGGCAGCGGTGGCTGCGGAAAAAAGGAACGACCCGTTGACGTGCTGGTATTTTTCTGCCATTCAAACTACCGCGCTGCACCATCGATGATAATTCTTCAGCAAAACCTGCTCAAATCTGTTGTGACGGACAGAATATGTTCACGATGAAACAAAAGGACTGCAATATATACTACAAACGAAGAATTTGAGGTTCCAATTAATTCCACATCACAATTCTGTGGAGGATGCATAATGAAAATCCATCATACGAGTCAAGCCCAAAGCCCTTTGAGTACAAGCCAATCTTCAGAGAATGGCAAAACTTCCGTTGGTGTGCCCATTGCGGATGGCATTTGGATGGTTCACCAAGCCCCTGAAGCTGTGGAGACCCAGTTCCTTTGAGTCAGGTGCCCTATGGCCCTATGGTTTCTACATATCATCCCTTGCATCCAACTCCAGCCCAGCAACGCAGCGACTCCAGCGCACGCTCCAGCTCGCCGAAGTTGCGCAAAGCCTCGTTCGCAACGCTCACCGGCGACGGTCGATTCCGCGACCTCTTGACCTCCTCAAGAAGCTGAGGAGAGGACCTTCGGGACCTCAAAAAAGAAGCTGATCAAAGAACGATAGCCAAAGACTTTGCACTCTGTCAAGGGATCTTCTATACGTGTGTATACCTCGGACTCCACCCCAGCCTGTGGATCATGATGGCTACTCAGGGCTTGATAAGGCAACCCCCAAGCTGCGATTCCAAGGCATAAAGTGTGGGTATCATTGCCTCCAGGGCCTCTGCCTACTCTGCACATCTCTGCACTTCATAGATTTTAGGAGGAAAGAACCGCCATGTAGGGCGTGGTGTGGAGGAATGCAGTACACTTTGTCGAGATCCATCTACCACCCACCACGCTGTGACTCACGTTCACTTTGGATTGGTCACGTGTTTCAGAAATCCTGTTTCCGCTAGAAAGGGACCTTTGTGTCAGAACTTACCCTTCCCACAACAAGTACGGAAGTGGAGTTCCTCCAAGAAACACGGAAGAAAAATGAAAAGTTCGCCACCAAAGCATGGGTCTATCCGATGGATTTTTCACGCGGATTGAAACGCCAAGCAACCCGCCCCAAGGTCACATGACCTGCATACCAGAGGGGCCTCGGCCGGATCTGGGAGGCCCTTTTCGACCGGAGAAATGAAATGGTACCAGAAATGTTGCGTTTATTGTTACAGTAAGTTAAGACAAGGATCGTCAAATGTGGTCTTTTTAGGAATTTATGTGTATATGCTTGTATATGTGTTTAAAATGTGTATTCCTAAGGATCGTTGACCTCTAGACAAGTATGTTTAATTCGCGGTCCCAGTTTTTTGCAGTTGAATTTACTGTTGATTCACGCATGTGTCTGGGATCATGCGCAACACCCTGAAGCTTGTGAGATACATTTCAATCCCAGGTGTTCTTCCGTCATGGTCACCTTCATTGGTGAGATCTGGCTGTGGATTCCAAAGTGAGGCGTCACACCCCTGTACAGAAGACTGTATTTAGATACAAGTGGCATCACCCCATCTGGCATCTTGTGAGGGAAACAAATCAACTTGAGTAGAATCCAGGAATCCTGGTTTGATTGCATTCTGCTGAGCATGTCCTTTCCTTTTGGTGTACCACTGCTGTATGCACCACCATGACTTTCTTTATCCTCACAATGAAACAAGCCCCAAGACTTCGTAGAGGAAGGCTATCTGAAAACAAATCGATCCTTTTCAGAGTCCAGGATGGTCCACGTGAGGGTATGTGGAGAGTGCAGTACAGCGTGCTGAAGGTTTCTTCCCGCAATCACGAATTCCCAGTCTGCCCCCTTTTTCCGCCTTGAAACATCCGCGTCTCAGAGCAGTGTGGGTCAATCCCCCGAAGCAGTCGGGGTCTGGATGCGCTCTTTTTGCCAATGTCACTGAGCCGCTATGGAGAACAAATGTGCCAAATGAAGAAGAACTGCAACTTGCATGCTCAGCTCCCTGGACCTCCAATCCAAGTATTGTTGGCGAAAAATAATAAACTGGATGACAAGCAAAGACTATTGAGGTTTCTCACCCGGCAATCGATAGCATCGTGGAAACAAATCCAACATGCTGCGAATGCCCCCCCCAAAAAAAGAAACTCGTGAATCTGCCAGAACAAAGGGCCTCCCTTTCAACGCGCTTCACACATCTTCACACTCTCTTCTGGTTATCACTCCATCTTCTCCAGACCCTCTGGACCGCTCCGCCTTCCGTGCCGCGTTCCGCGCTACAACTCAAAGACCCCCGTCAAGGCCAGCAAGAGCTCTCGTGCCTCCGGGTCGCGAGGGCCTCGGGGCGCCACGAAGGGGTGAAAAGGCCGCGAAGGGCAGCGCGGCTGGGCGACCAGGCACTGGCACTTCATGTACGTTTGAAGAAGAGTTGGCAACAGTCAACTCTACAGCTCTTGTCAGCCAGCTGTGGTAGTGGTAAAGCAACCGTTGGCTTGGTCGGTGAGAAACAAAAGAGAAAATTTTCAGTTGGATAGCCAAGTAGTCCCTCAGATTCCATGCTCATTGTTGCTTTGAGAAGGGGTGGTCTCCGTTGAACAAGGTTGAATGAGCATAGCACCTCTTCTCTCTCTCTCTCTCTCGACATCGTCGTGGGTTCGAATGGTTTAACAGTGAGTTCTATGTGTCTAGGTGTTTCACTTCAACGACCCTGCAGCCCTTCTTGGCCGCCAAGGCGCGGAGATACCCCATTTATTTTTTCTTGTTCACACTCCTATGTTGTGAACCTTCCATCTACGTGTGTGTGTGTGTATATATATATATATATCTATGTATGTATGTATGTAGACCTCGGTTGTTGTAGGACAGAAGATCAACTGTTCCCTCAAAACTGCTGGAATTGAGGTGGGAAGCTATTCCATTATAGCCCACAATTCCTCATCAGAGTGTAACAGAATAGGGAGACCAACTCACCAATCGGCTCAATGGGTCAAGTCAATGGGTGTCTGATTTTTCTCTTCTTCCAGGTGGTCTTGGGGAGGTTGACCCTATTACACCCCCCCCAATAGCCGAGTACGTAGCTCATGCCGACTCGTCCCGACTCGTCCCGACTCGTCCCGCTTCGTCCCAAGTTCTGGGCGCTTCCGGCTCCCGAGCTCGGCACAAAGCCTTGGCCAGAACTCCTGTGGCGCTCCGCTCCACGACGGACGAGGCGACGCCGCACGGATCCGTGGTGTTTCCGAGAAGACCAGGGCTGCCGTTCAAGTGCTGCGGTCCGGTTCAAGGTCCGGCACTCCGGTCTTTTTCTCCGCTGTGCCGGACCGGTTGTGTCCTGAGATTCCTTAGTGGAACAAACCTAAGATGCCCTGCCCAGAAAGAGGGCAGCTGGTGGGGGTTCTGCAAGTGGATTGATCCCCACAAGTAGTTTGGGTGCTAGTGATGGATGAGAGACAAGGTCACCACCTGGCACCATGGTCTTATCTCACCCTTTGCATCGCGCGCACGCGGACACGCGCGAGCCGCACCGAGCCCCATAGATCGCCTGGGCCGAGTTCACCAGGGCGAGGTTGCTTTGGATCATCAACACCACCTGAAAGAGACGACGGAGGAATCCGGTGAGTTTCTTACAAACTCCCAGCCTCTCACCAAGGTGACTTGCCGAACACATCGACTATACAAATAGACAAATAGACAAAACCTCTTGGGGGCTGAAGTGGAGTCCTACGGGTTTTCACGAACAGCTCCACACAAACCCTGGCCTCCCTCAAAGCTATTAAATGTATCCGAACCGCGAGTCAAAGTACCTTCCGGCTTTAACCCATTCATTGGGCCAATCAGGTCTCCCTACATGCAAACATCAAGATCATCAAACCAATTGGCGGTGATCGAGCCACCAGCTGCTGCTGCTTGGTAGTCAGCTCCATCTCCGGCAACCCATGGCGATATCGCCAACCGTGGAAGAACGCGTAGAAGACCTCGTGTGGGGTGCTGTCGAGTATATGTCGCGATGCAGCACCAACCCTGGAATGCTGCATAGACCACCCTTGAACCTACTGTGTGTACATTCTGTATGGTTGAGCTGATGGGTGCTCATTGAGCTCAAGTGAAAGCTAGGGATTTGCGCCCAAAACACTCAACAGAGATCTGGAAAAGCAAAGAGGGCATGTGCCTCTACCAGGTGGATTCAACTTCTGCATCTTTCGACACGGGGTGCTTTTGGTGGACCGGTCCTCGACCGGTCTTCGGAAGTCGGGAGACCCCATTTGAGACCCCATAATGTGGAGAGCTGAAGGGTGTGTGCTGCTTAAAAGGCTGTGGTGAGCTGGAGGGTGCTTGATTGCTCACAACTTCACAACTTCAAGCAAGAACCGGTTCACAGAACTTTAGTCCACCAGTCCGCTGGGTCCGGCTTGTTGGTTAACCCATCAATGAACACACGGGGTTGTGTGGGACAGTGACACTGTCAAGCTCACATGATTTGTCCCAAATGAAAATACCTGGAGAACAAAAAGTCTTTAGCAACTCCTCTGGCTAAAGGTCGTTTGGTTTGGATGAATCCCATGTATGCCGGCAGGTGTGGTTTAAAATCTGAAAGTCAAATCTGTCGCAGCGCTTCCATATTGTTTGTTCAAAAAAAAAGGAACTATTCAGCACATGTTGTGAATCACCAAACGCTTCGCCACCTGACAGGTGTAGGAAAGCGCCCATCCAACTCTTGGAAGGCGACAGTAGCTGGCGACGAAGCACCCCGGAGCGGTGCGGAGACGAGGACGGAGGGACTTTGACGGAGGGACCGCCGGTCAATTCTCCCGGAGTGCACCGCCTGCTCGAAGACGCGCTCGATGCTTGAACAGTATGTACGTGCCCGGGCCTCTCCAGTGGTCTCCAATGGATGACTCCTTTTGTCCCCCGTTCAGTAGGAGGATGGTCTTGTTTAAGGTCTTCAGCGCTTCCGATGCTTCCCCGGACCCGTTGGGCCCCAACCTTTTTAAGTGGTCCACCGAGCCACGCGCACCACCTGCTGTGCAGAGAACTCAGTGACACTCACCTCCTCTTGTCCCCTGCGACGATGCGCGTCACGATGCGGGTCAACCAAGCAGGTCAGGGAACCTGGAAGGATCGGGGGCACCATGGTTTTAGTTTAGCACGGCCTGCGGCCTGCTGGCCTGCTCAAGTCACAGCGAATCAACCAACACCAAGAGCGCACTTCTGCGCTCTTCTGCCAAACTTGACTGACAGGCTAACAGGTGTTGTCTGTCCCTGGATTCAATAAATAGCCATCATGTAGAGGAATGCAAAGGGCAGAATGTGCATTGTGGCCTTGGCAGTAAAAGTGCCTTACAGCTGTTTGATTTCGGTGTTATATTCTATCAAAAGCGAGCTTGCGGCGAAGTCGCAGCGAGGTGCCTTATCGAACCTTATGCCAAGAGCGCTCTACGGCGACAGCGGGGTTCAAGCACAACCTCTCATGAGTGACCGGCTGGACTGCTATGCTGTTCCTTCTTTACAAATTCACACCCCTCCTCAGCCGGAGCACTCACTTGAGATTTTGCTTCATGAACAGCCTTTTTGGCTGATTTCCGGCGCTGACGACCAGCGCGAATGCCCAGCTTCCGGAGCTTTGCTTCTTCTGATGGCTCATGCTGCCATCTTCCTTCTTCCATCGCCTGCAGGAGCGGAGCGCGCTCACATCCAGCTTTTGTGAGAACGTCGGCCAGCATTTGTGACGTGTCGCACCAGATGGCGTACTGCTCGTCAGCCACATAGGAGCCATAGCCGAGAAGATCCTTTATCTGAGCCACTAGGATCTTCACCCTTTTGTCTGTTGGTTGTCCTGCATCTTTCACGATCGTTGACTCCAGCGACTTGGCATCCGTGAACGCCAGGAGGATGCCCTTCTTGTACTCCTGGAGGTCCTGGACGGAGGTTCCAGGGAACTTCATCTCCATCAGCAGCGAGCGGACATAGTCGCCAGCCTCAGACGCCATGAGAAAGGCGTTGGCCTCTGCCGCAAGCGTCGAGCGGCAGACCCGCTTGATTGACCCGGAGTAGGTCTCAAGCAGCATGATCGGGGCGCTTGCCCCTGACTTGATCTCCTCAGTGGTGAGGACCACTATGTAGCCGCACTGGGACTTCATGTTCTGGGAGTTTGCA